CCCGTCATGTCAAATCCCACAGGAAATACTCAGGTCTGCATTTCCTTATGCCCCCGAGCCGCGTGAAACTTGTACTGAACACATCTGTGTACCTTTCTCCTGCTCATCGGTCTTTGCCGGTGTAACTGTCCCCAGCCAGGGACCCTAGGAGGGTGAGGAAAACTTTCTCCTCCCTGCACTAGATGGAAAGGTTTCCTTTTTCAGAATCTGAACAGATGGCCGTCTCTCTTCTGCCTGAAGCTGCCGGGTGACGGAGAGCTCATTACCATCCCGGCTCCTTCCGTGGCAGGCCCTCAGCGCTCGGTCTGAACCAGGACCACTGTGTGGTGCCGTGTGCTCTTCTGAAGCTCCCTTGCTGAGTTTCCGAGGCTCGGGAGCAATGCCGGGCTCGAGGGGCAGCCACTCTCCCGCTGAGATCACACCGTCACGAGATCAGAAAGTAACTCCGTATTTCACACGCACTTACGGGAGCTAGACGCAGGGGTCTGCCCTCCCGGATCCCTCCCAGTGACAATCATCTAGATGATTTTCCTTCTAAATGTTTGAATTTTTCTCGTAATATTAGAATTTTCCTTTTGAAGAAACATGACTTTATTAATTTGAAGAAAATGCAAACCCTTTCAAGATGTCAGAAATCAGATCCTGAAACACGACAAAATACCCCCGATCCAATAGGAATGTGTGCGTGTACTGTAATCTGTTCATTTCCTTTAAGTTTTGTTTCGAGGTATTTCCATTTGGCTTAAAGGGCTTTGGCTCTGCCGCCACGTGTGTGAGTCTCGAGCACCAGGGAGAGAGACCGCGAGGCATTTAGCAACCACCGTCCACTGCTCTCTCCAGACTCAGAATTAGCAGGTGCACAGCAAATACATGGAGAAAAAAAACCCCAGAATCATCAAAATCAGCCCTAGTACAGCACGACACGGTTAACGTCAGAGACGTTAGCTTTTTAAAAACACCTCCACTTTTGCCCCCTTTGTTCCCATTTTCACCTTCTAAAACCAGCTCCAAACCCACCGGCGCCCCTGCCTCCATCGGGGGCGGCCTCTGAATGTGCTCGGCTCTGGCAGGAGTCCGGGGAGGGGGCGGGGATCCTGGGCAGGAGAACCTGCCAAGAACGACCTCAGTCAACTTCAAGGTGAGGGAGCGCTGTCTTCTGAGGCCGCCAGGAGGACAAGGGCAGGCGAATGGAGAGCTGGTCTCCACACACGCGGTGCAGCAAGAAAGCCCTGGGGCTTCGGACGAGACAGGGCTTGGGGGGCAGCCAGGATGGCAGAGGAGTCTGCACGGCCGGGTCCCAGTCCCTGGGGGTGGTTGTTTCCGCCCCTGAAGGTGGCGAGGTCAGGCTCTGGCCACTCAGGGACCAGAGGGAAATGAGTCAGGTGGGCGGAAAGGAAGGAGCCAGTGCTGTGGGGGGGGCTTGCTGGCACCCCAACCCACCTAGCAGGACCTCCCCGCCTGCCCGGGAATCGGGTCAATCCAATGCCTAGACCGCACCGCACGGCTGACAGTGACACCCTTTCTGTCTGTGGGACGCAGAACCTCGGGGATGGAGATGGGGTGGCAGGGAGCTCGGGTGTCCTGCTCTGCCCTCGTGGGCTGAGATGGCTCGCCACACCTCCAGGTGCAGAGACGCAGGGGTGACTGGGGCACAGTGAGCGTGTCGGCCTGGGGAGGGGAGTCTGGGGTCACCATCCTATGGGTAACAACAAAGCCAAAGCCTGGACGCGATCCCTCCGGAGGCAGTACAAGGAAGAAGACTGTGCCTTGGGGTCGTCAGAGCGGGACCTCAGTGGTCAGTGAGACCTGCCTGGGGGACAAGGGACTGCGGTCCAGGAGGGGGCGGCTGGTGTGGCAGCCGTGAGTCAGAGGCGGCTGAATGCAGAACCTTCAACAACCGGGGAGACCGAGCGGTGACAGGGGTGCAGGGAGCAGGCGGGGGAGGCGCCGTGTGTGGGAAATACGCACCGATGTTGAAGCGTTTGCTGGGAAGGCATCTCTGGCGTCGGGGTTTTACTTAACAGCGCGGGAAACGCGGGAGCGGACTGCGTGCTGACAGCCACGAGCCGGAGAGGGGGGGGGCTGATGTGCTGGTGAGGGGCAAGAGCTGAGGAACTTAAGATTCACGAAGCTGGCAGCTAACGGAAGGGAGAGCTCTGGCGCAGGAGGCAACGCGGGTAGGGCGGACGGAGGGGGGGTGGGTGTAAAAGCACGAGGGAGGGGGAGAATCGCCAAGGGCGATGGGGAAACGGCCGAAGAAAGCGCTTGGCAAAATGGATCATCCATGGAAAAGGAGCTGGCCTCCAGATCCGTGGCCGGTGAGTCTGTGCCCTCGGCAAGAGGGCTGCTGGGAGCTGGAAGTAGACACGCCTCTTTGACCTCATGTTTAGGGGCGGAGGAAAGAAAACAACACTGGCTTCCGGAGGTCCTACATGCTACCGCCATGGACACGAACGGACGGCACAGGCGGTGACGCGGGTGGCTACCAGAGGAGGGTGATGGAACCAGTGCGCCGGGTGGAGAGAAGGGCAGACTTCTGCCGAGGCCAATGGGGCCTCTAAGCCCACGGGTGAGGAGGCCAGCCAGGAGGAGATGGGGGCGGACGGCAGCGTGAGGCTGTCCGGACCTGATCTGCGGGTCGCCACGCTGACTCCGCGCGAGGCTCAGGCACGGAACGCAGAGATGGTCGGTCCACGTGACAGAGAGACAAAACCAGGGAGGTGACGTTAGGCCTGTCTTGACAGGGACAGCTTAGCCTGTCTCTCCTGCTGGCCCTGCTCCCAAAGGGAGGGGAGCTCCAGCCAGGGGAGGTCTGTTCTGTCTGCCCCCCGGGCCAAGAGACCTAATCCTGTGCCATACTACAGGCACCCCAGGAGAGAATCTTTACAGCTGAAAGCCAGCCAGGTGCTGAGCTCTAACGGGGGCCCTCTCACCAAGACAAAGAAACACAAGAACACACACCCACGAAAAACCACGAAAACCTGAGAATAAAGTGAGGGACGGGAGCCGCCCAGATGCCAAAATGAACGGAGAAGGAAAAGCTGGCTGACAGAGCCGCCGAATGTAGCAGCCCATCGCGGGTTCAAGGAAAGCGGGTCGGGCACACGGGACAGCACACACGCCGGGGGCTGCAGGGGCTGGGGAAGCAGGGAATCTTCCCAGAGGCTTCCCAGGGACCCAGCGATGGAGGGCCGCTGATCACCTCCCGTGATGGTGGGCAGGAGGCGGAGTCGGGGGAGCCAGACCGAGACACGAGGTTCAGGGAGAAGATGACGCGGAGCTTAGCTGCAGCAGCGACATCACGAAGGGTCGGTGACCCCAGCTGGAGGGCAGAGGGGCCAAAGCGGGAGCCAATCTAGGGGAGGCAGGACCGGAGCAGGGTTTGGCCAAGATGCCGGGAGGCCAAGTCACAACGCCCACAGAACCTCGGTCTGAGGCCCCAGCAGGTGGAGGCTGGGGTCCCACCCCAGTGTTGTTCGCCTCCGCTGTTCAGCACGGGCCGGGAAGGGCGCTCTGAAACCTCGGCCGGGCCGATGGTGCCGGGGCGAGTCATCGCTGTCCCCTCTTTCCCGGAACCAGGAGACGGTGTTTCCCCAGGAAGAGGGCCCCGGGTACCAGGCCTCAAGATCGGGGTCTGGGGGCCGGCAGCCCCACGTCCTCACGTGACCCTGGTGGGGGGGGGCTCCTGTGCCAGAGCTTCCGCAGAAGGGCGTGGATGTTCTCCCCAGTCACTCATGCACCATCAACAGGACCCCCCCCCTGCGGAGGATGAGGCAGGGAAGGAGGGCAGGGGCCCTCTGCCTTCCTGTATCCCACCGCAGCACGGGTCGGAAGCTTCCATCGACTCCGACGCCCATCCTGGCTCCTGCCACTGGCCCCGGCCTCTTCCTCGGGCCCGGGCCCTTTCCGGGACCCTCACCTCCATCTCCCTCCTCACTGCCAGCACGCTGGGGCGGGTCGAGTGGACGCCCTCCCTGACACACTCACCTCCTCGCCCGAGTTGAGTGAAGGGGACCGCTGGCTGTGGGGTTCGGGTCCCGCGGAGCCTTCGCCGACGCATCAGCCCGGCCTCCCCACTTTGCCCACACCAGCGGAACACGACGCTGGCGCTTTCCGTAAGGTCTTTCCACCCGCCACTGCAAGTGCTGAAAGGAGCAGGAGGAGCAACTAATTAAAATTCTCATTTCGAGACAGGTAACCGTCAACGGCAGATTTCCACGAGATGGCGAGTGGCCGCGGATGCCCGGTTTGCGAGAGCACTTACAAATCAGCCGCCTCAGCAGTTAATTATCTGTAACGGCCCGGCCGTGATTCACACTGGTTTCAATAGCACCGCTGTTTGGGTCCACGCTTGCCTTACGAGTGGCAGGCTGCTACCCCATGGTGAACCGCCGTCCTCGCTGCGGCGACTCACGGCGCCGCCCCTCGAGATCGCTGGCCAGCCAGGGGGCCCAGAGGTGGGCTTATTTCATCAGCTGTGGCTGCCATGGGAGCTGCTTTGGGCTCGAAAGCACCTTCCTGAAGCAGCACGGCTACTCAGTCACAGCTGGATATGCCCCAAGGGTAAGGCAGTGTCCCGCCCAACGCTGTCTCCACGTGAACACGCACAGGCTGCCACACCCCACCGGTCCCCGAGGTGGCCAAGAATGCTCTGGCTGGGGCACAAACTTAGCCACCACAAAAACCTCTGAAGAAGGAAGTCCGTGGCTTTCAGTGTTTTCCGACCCCTGCGGTCATGCTCTTCCTCAGGGGACACACTAACCACAATCTCGACCACCAACACAAAGGCCACATTCGCCAGGCCCGTGGACCGGCAGCGCCTTCTCAAGCAGCGGGAGGTAACACAACTCCGCCTCCTAGCATGATGTCACACTGACTGCTGCACGGCCATCCTGGTCCCCAGGCTAATGGACGGGAGCTGCACCCCACTGCCTCAGGCAGCCCTCCTGTACTCACCGACCCGCTTCCCGCCTGAAGAATCTCCAGTCCAGATGCTTTTTCCAGTTTGTCCTTGTTGTCAACTGTTAGGAAAAATTAAGAAGCACAGGGGTCAGCTTACAGAGCTCATCGTTCTCAAGACACTCTGAGCATTTTCCTCTATTGAAAAGCATTTCACGAAGTCACTGTGTGCAGACGGCCGAATTCAACAGCCCAGCTGTGAACGAGCCCGGAGCTGGTCCCGCTTAAGCACGCAGGCCCCCTTCAGCCAGCCTCTACCCCGAGCAGACGCACAGGGCGAGCGTCATCACAGCGAGCTCACACGGCTGTTGCAAACACTGCACGAGGCGTCGAATGCAGACATTCTCTGCGTGCTGTGAAGTCTCATTTTAGAACTCTCTGATGGCCATTCACTGAGCAATCATCGGGAGACACCCTAACCCTAGCCCCTTGACCAGGGTCCGAGCTCACGAAGAAGACTCACTGGGAGGCGAGCCTGAGCGCGGGCACTGACTCCAGCGGTGGCGGGGGCCGCCCCGTCCCTCATCCGCGCCCTAGTTTGCCCCTGACTTAGAACGAGGGGGACCGGCAGAGGACGATGACCCTCCATATGAGACCAAGGGAAGTGAGCTCTGGAACAATTAGCAGATGTAAATGAAAACCCGGCAATCCTAACGCCCGCACCGCAAACCCACCTGCCCCCACTTTGTCGGGAAGAAGTCGTGTCACGAAGCAATTGACCTTGGCTTACAAATCTGCAGCAGTGTTCTTTCGGGTAAAGCCCATGTCATTTTGGAAATGAATACCAGGAAAAACACAATTTTGCTGCAGACCCTAAGAATGAAGAGTGTCTTGCAATTGTGGTTAATGCCGAACGAGAACAAGAAAATAGCGGTTACTTCCAACTCTTACTGTCCTGCACCCACGTTAATCTTGGGTAATGGGATTATATCTCGTAGAGGGTTACAAACGGGAGCCCGCTGTAGCCTGTCTGCCCACCTCGGGGCCTCTCGTCGTCTTGTACCAAGTTTTTCCCCGTGAACAAATGAACATTATTTTTTACACGCAGGTAATCATCCCCGCGCTGAGAGAACGAGGCGGACACAACCCCATCTGGGCTGGAGAGGCAAACGCTTTCAGACCCTTCAGCGGGTGCGGGGCCAGAGAGAGGGCAGGGGGAGGGGGTGTCCCAATGTAAACCCCGAATGGAGGGGAACAGTCTTGAAGAGCCAGAGTACAAAGCAATCGATCTTAATGTTCTTCTGCGAACAAAGGAAACACTTTACTGAATGTCAAGCTACTTTTGGGGGGAATAATAGTGAGCTCTTAAATAGGCTGAGAAGGAGAAAGCGCATGAAAAGGGTATTTTAAAGGGACTGCACTTACTGCTACAGAGGAGTGCCCGATATTTCAGGGTCAGGGATGAAAAAGCCGGTCTGACAATAATAACGCGGAGAACCCAGTCCGAGGGTCAGCAAACCTCCTAGAGAAGGCGGGGTGGTAGGTGTGCCGGGCGGGGCAGGCCAGGGGTCTGCGTGAAGGCACAGGAATCCTACCCAAGCGGACGTCCTGGTCGTGTCCCAACAAAACCTCCTCCACAAAGCCGGCGGCAGGTGATCTCCCCCCCCCAAGCAGAGGGCCGCACGCTGGCCATCCTCCTGTTTGCAGGGCAAAGTTAGGACCCTTCCGCAGGCTTGCCGACCAGCCCCCTAGGCCCCAGGCCCTTTCCTGCACCAGAAATGCACGCTGGTCTCAGCTCGAGGGAAGCAGGATCGGCCTCCAAGCAGCCCAAGCCCCGGGTGCTGGGAGGCCTTCCCGGCAGCGACTCCTGCCGGGGTCCCCACAGCTCTCAGAGCCACGCGGCGCGGGCTCACCACACCCCCAGGACACTCGGTTATCCAGCCTTCCCACTACCCGGAAACGGCGACACAAATGACCTCCAGTGAGCAGACGACAGTAAAATGCGGTGACTGAACCATGCAGGGCTGAGTGGGTACCAAGTCCTTTGGGTTTTTTTGACTGTGTTCTAACAAAACTTTATGGACTTCACAGCTTGAATGTCATGATTTTAATGTGTCACGAAACACTATTATTTTGATATTGCACTAATTTAAAATTCAGAAATTATTCTTAGCTCACAGGCCATACAAAAACAGGTGACAGGTTAGATTTGGCCCATAGGTCATAGTAACGGACCCCTATTGTAGATGCAGCAAAGTCTTTTGTTTTCAATGGCTTTAAATGTGAGTGGGTAGAACGTCCTTCAGCTGCGTTGAATGCCTGGCTCCCAATATCCCTGAAAACAAGGAAAGGAGCCCCAGGGAGCACGGCAGCCTGCCCCCACCCCAGCTTCCAGGAACTCTTGCCCCGTTTACAGCCTGACGTGTCCTGTTTCCTGGACTCCCCCACGTCTGACCCGTCTGACCGCGTGCACGCGTGGCCCGTGGACCGGCTGCCGCCCGCATGCCGTCCGTCACAGGCCTTCTGAGGAAGGGTCTGCGTTCCCCAGTTCTACCAGACCACTTGCCACTGGCACCTTCTGACCAACTCCAGAAAGTTCTGGAAGGGGCACTGGCTGCTTGGTAGGCTCTTTGGGAAACGCTGCGTCACCAACACCGATGGAGAAGCACAGGCCGCGTGTGGGAAAGCGGTGCCGTCACAGCCCGACCCACGGCTGCGCTTGCAGGTCGATGCGGCTGCTGGTTCTGACACAGGTCGTCGATAAACACAAAGTGATCTGGGGACCAGGGGGCATCACAATACGGTTTAATCGCTGGTCTCCGCTATTTTAGTGGCACGCAAGACAAGATGATGGCCTCTGAGAGCTGGCGCAATGTGGCGCCCACGTGTGCCCCGGGTCCCCGTGATGCCCCGGAGGCCGCTGGGACGGTGCGTCCGCTTCTCAGGGCCCCGGGCGGCGCTCGTGAGGCTCCGCCGGCCCAGAGCCTCCCAAAGCCGTCCTGGCCTTTTACAGAGGAGGTCACTCAGCTCCAACCAATCGGCCGCTGAGACACGCAGCCCGAGCCCGGGAGTACGGGCGCAGGGCCTGGTTCAGGCTCCTGAACGGATCAAAGTGAGACGGAAGCCAAAATCCACATAATCAAGCCCCAAATCACAACAGCAGCAAGATGCCCTGCCAGGCACCAAGGAGCAGTCCGTAACCTCCGTTAGTCCTAAACCACCTGGGATTTGCATCACGTGGTCTCCTCCTCAGAAATGGGGAAGCCAAGGGAGCACGGTGTGTGGCCCGGAGCCACGGGCAGGGCCGTCTCGGGCCGTGTGGGCTTGTCAGGAATACGGCGGCCCCACGGCTTAAGGACGGACATCGACTTCCCACAGCGCTGGGGGCCACGCACCCCACGCGGAGCGGGTGGTGGGCTGCGTGTCTGGGGAGGACCCTCTTCCCCACTGCAGGCCGCCACCCCCCAAGGTGCCCACACATGGTGGAGGGGCTCTCCCTTCCTCTTCTCACGTGGACCCCAATCCCGCCAGATTAGGGCCCCCTCCTCATGACCTCGTCTGACCCTTACTATCCCCGTGTCCGTAAATACAGTCAGCCTGGGGGTGGGGGCTCCACATATGCATCTGGGGGCACGAGCCGGCCCCCAGCTCCAGGCCCGTCGGTAATTCTGTCCAGCGACGCCCCCGGGCTGACCCGCCCAGACTCCGCGTCCCGCGAGTGGCCAGGAAACCCCAGGCCGATGGGGTGGCTGCGGGGAAGGACCTGTCGTGAGACCGTCAGGAGTCTCAGGCATGCTCGGGCGCGTGGGCACCAGGCTCTGGGCCCCAGGAGCGGCGGGCTTCCGCTCCCAGAATCCCCGCTGTCCAGATTCTCTGTCCCCTGTGCTCTGCAAATACCAACGGTCGCCGAGGGACCGCCATCCCGTGCCAGCCACCCTTTGTGGGCCACTCCTGGCCTCACCGCGCAGGGAGTTTCCAACGGCAAGCCGCGGGCACACAGGAAGACCGGCTGTGGTCCTGCGCACGGTCCTCTGCCTCACCCAGCCTCGGTTTTGCCCTCAAGCTTGAGGACAACGTCTGTTTGCTCATTGCTCTAAGATGCCAACAACCTGTGGTCTCCGAGGCTATTGATGTGTTCATTGATGCTTCTCTGCTTCAGCGTCTGAATGCACCTGAGTGTCCCTCCGGGCCGCCCGCTGGGTGACCTGGGTTAAGGCCCAGCTTCCCCATCAGCATCACTGTGTCCGTGAACCCCCCGCTCTGAGCCCCACTCGCTCTGAGAGCCACGCAGCCACCCCTTCCACACAACGTGGCCGCCGGCCGGCGCCTGCTCTTTCTTTGTCCTACAGACAGCTGTCCTGTTCTTTTCAGCGCAAGTGGCCCTGGAACGGAAGCCATCCCAGCCATCTCCGGCACGTTCCATGATGCCCAGGCCACTCGGACATCCTCCTCCGCGTGGCCCCACACGTTTGCCGTTTCGGGGAATTCGCCCCGAGGGTGCCCCCAGCCAGGGGACCTCCTTCCAGAAATCCCTTCTGCCGGGTGCAACAGAGACACGAACACCCTCTGCCTCACCCTGGACCCCACGCGCACGGCGCCGCCCCCTCAAGCGTCTGGCCTGTGCCCACACGGCTCCCTGCATCGCTGTCTAAGCGAAGGACCACTTTCTAGGCACGCCACGGCAACATGGCCGTTTTGTTTGGTCTCTGGCTAAAGGATTTTAAGAAAAGACAAACCTACTAGTGTTCCATCAGATGTCAGTTCCACGCTATTTTTGTGGCCTCGCGTGGACTCTGAGCCGGTGGGTCCGAGCCGGACGGCAGGGCCGGGGGGTGGAAACCCTGCGAGAAGCTGTTTTAATAAAGCCAAGAACAATGCATAAAGCCCATTTTTATCTTCGAGGGAGACGAAAAGGAAGTCCTTTAAAATTAAATTCACCAGATGAAGGATATGCAAATTACCTGGAGAAGCAGAACCCTACAATGTTCTCAAAATTCTGCAATAGCCTATTTAATTAGTGTTTTAATTTATCAGAAAAATTCCCCGCACTGGACAACTGGTGCAGCGTCCCTGTAATTAGGCACGCGGTGACAGCACAGCGCGGATGCGTCCTTGGCCCCGC